CCAGGACCAAGCATTTCCTTATTCACATCCTACAGGCAATGGGTAGTTATTTTGGACCCAGAAGTCCCAACAGAAACCTTAGTAGTTAATTTTGCTGCTTAAAACATAAGCCAACACCTAACCTGATCTCTATAGGATGGGAGGAGGGGACAGTGATGGGATGTGTGGATCAGCTTAGGAACAGTGCTCCATGGCAACAGAGCACTTATGGGCACATTGTGTTGAGATTCGGCACAGTTTTCGTTCCTGCCTTCTTTTCCTGGGAGCACAGACACCTATTCAAGAGGTGGAACTGAAGTGCAGTCACTGAGTTGGATGAGGGATGAAAGCCTGTCATAAAAGGGGGTAGGGGTAGGGGGCACACCAGCCCAAAGTTTCCCTTCTTTCCCTTCATTGAGAAACACCGCCCAGGTATTCTGGGCCCTGCAGAGGGGCTGGAGGCCTATTTTGTAAACAAGAGGGAAAGAGAGTCACTTGTGAAATTTTGCTCAAAAATGAACATGTTTATTTTGGAAGCACTTTGTTCTCTCAGACTATCAAAAATCAGTCTTGAAGTGCTCTTTTGTTCTTGTCAGACTTAAATCTTAGCCTCATAATGAAGCGTCAAAATAAAATGGTTGAGAAAAGTAATGACTGCAATTTTGCCAGTGGTTTCTGTGCTCCTTTGCATGAGTCACTACTCCTTAGTGGAGCAGAATGAAGAGAGAAGCAGGGCTAGAAATTAACAAAGGATTCTGGTATTGACTGGATCCCCCCTGTCCACCCTCATCCTGACCCTTTCACGTACCCTCCGGGACATGGGCGCACCATGGTGAACAGGTGAGGTAACAACTATGCACGTCAATACAGTTCTATATAAGTAAATGCAATTCTTTTTAACAACTAGAATTAAGGGGATGCATTTGTTTATGTAACAAATTCCTCAGAATATGGGGTGGACAAAAGTAGGTTTGTAGTTGTAATACAAATAACACAATAATTAATAAATAGTAATAATACAAGAATAAACTCTGTTTCGCAGACTCACAACTATAAACCAACTTTTGCCTACCTTGTACATTGAATTTGCAACATCTCATGAAGTCCATAGGGAACTGAGTGGGCTCACTCCTCAGAAGTGATCAGCTATTTCTAAGTATAAAAGGAAGAGCTGCTTACAGTACTTCTCAAATACATGATTGTGCAGAGATATTTTATTAAGGCACAATTATTAAAATCACATTATCTTTAAAATAAACATATAGAAATTACTGTTCTCGGAGCCTCACAAACCCAAATATATAGTTGCCTTGCTCCCATTAATATAGAGATCCATTATATTCCTCTGGGCATTTCATTTTTTGTCTCCCCTCTAAGTTTGATACCATCACCTGTTGGGGAGGCGTGCTTTCTTCTATGCTGTTTATCGATCATTCCCATTTGGCCATAAAGCCCCTTCTAATGCTCCTTCCTCAGAACTCCTTGGCAATTACAATGTACAGGACTCCTCCAGCCTTTCTCAGGTGCTGTCTTATGCTGTTAAGCAGGGTTTGTTTCTCATGTTGCCATGTCTTATCTCCCCAGCCACTTAATAAGCAATTCAGGAATGTCATGTGTCTTTGAATCTCCCTGGTATTTAATAAACTGACTTGAATTAGACTCTAAGCTCCTTGAAGGGAGGGACCTTCATCCCTTCTTTTTTTTTCCAAGACAACTGCTAAAGCCCTGCCCTGACATACAGTACACAGTCAATAAATATTTACTGAATGCAATAATAATCATATTAATACCAGGTGCTCAAGAGGTATTTGCTAGGTTGAATAACACTATTACCAATCTACTATCAGCTGGACCAGCGTTTGGATTAACTTTCCAATAGCTGTGTGATTTTCATTAGTAATTAAGACCAGTGCCCTGGGATGCATGTGGGAGTCAAACACAGACAAAAAGGTGGAAGTCAGTTTCTAGCCTCAGGGAACCCATGCTTCACTTCCTTTCCACTTCTCAAGTACGTGCAGCCTGGCTCTTGTATACCCTCTCAGCATCCAGGCATGCCTTTGTAAACCAGTTAATCTTGCCAACAATCACGGTGATTGTTTTACACTGGAATTTAACCCCTATCAATTAGCATAATGACACAGCCACCCAGGCATCCTCTTGCATGGATGGGAACCAAGGAAAATCAAGGCTGTTGGCTTTGGTGTAGATTCCAGGGGTTGGGTCTAGCAAGCACATCCCTTTCTGCTAAGATCATCAGTTCTCAGAGACACTCGCACAACACTAGAAACCCCTGGCCCGTTTCTCCATTTAAATTCATAGTTTCAGAGGAAAACGTCCACCACAGTGCAACTCTTTGTTCTGCACGCTACCACTGCCCAAGAAGTGTGGGAGCTCATGCTGCTTTCTCCTGCTTTTCTGCAAAGCCACCATTCTTCTCCAGCAACAGAATTACTAGGAAGAGCTCCCTTGCTGTGTGTACCCGGGAGCTTCCCAGCGCCAGGAAGGTGGCTAGCAGGGGGTTCTTCCTCCAAATGTATTTGCAGAACTCCCACTATTCAGAGGAGGAACAACAGTTGGCCATTCTGGTTTTTAGTTGGCAGTTGATGGCAGCACTCAGTACTTATTTAGTAAATTCAGCAAAATCTTGTGCGTTCACTTGTGAGAGGGGTTCTCAGGCTGCTTTAGTGGCCTGAACTCCAATGTGACAGCTGCAAGGCCACGAGACTCTGTTCAGGAGGAACTTCAATCGTCAGCGACTTTACAGGCAACTCTCTGACTCACTGATTATTTGGTACATGAGACAATCAATTGGCCCCTGGTACAAAAACTAAGAATGAGAATAATTTTCTGGGGATTATACTAAGGGTTTGTGGGATTAAGTTTCTAGTGCAAAAAATTTACACATTTTCTATAAAAATAAGATATTATTGATTGAGCTGAAATGTCATGGTTCTATCATACCTGCTACTCTCAAAACCAAGCAAATGTCTGTCAGTTTCGAGATATCACGGTGATGTTGTAACAGCTCCTTTTACAAACAACAGTCATCACTTGACCACTGGCACATGTTACAGGCTTTACTGCCAAGCACTTCAGACCTCAGTTGAAAATATTTCTAGGTCAATTTCAAAGATGGTTCTAATAAACTCTTTAGTTGCATTTGGAAATATATGTAAAAGGAACCTAAAACAAGGAATATCTATTCTTTTTAGATAAGCTACTCTACAACACTGATACTTAATAAGTGATAAAAACAGTAAATGTGTTATTAGTTTAAGAACTGCTTATCTAAAGTAAAAATAATATAAGAGGCAGGTTTTAGGGGCTTCTGCCATTACTGCTGTTTTTGTTTGTTACACTCAATTACAGTGTTCTACTCTGAAGTTTTTCAGTGGATATGAAGGCATGCTCCCAGCTCTAAACAACAAAACCTTCAACTTCAAACTGCCTTAAAAATAATGAACATTTATTATAGATAATAAATACATATGCTATTTATAAAATAAAAACATTTATTATCTAACATAACGGGAAGTAGATGAGATCCTCAAAACCGGGGACTCAGTGACAATGATGTCGCGTGGACCAGTGCTTTCTACAGCTCCGTTCTGCCCTCCACACACTCCACACCATTGTAAGGCCTGTTCCGCTGGAATCTGCTGCTTCTAACAGCTGGGGCTGCTTGCTTTCTTATTTGCATCTAATGGGGAAGGACAAAAGAGGCCTCTCTTCTAACCACGAAGAGAAGTCTCTCCTTTCAGTCTGCTTGGCCAGTTCAGGTCAACTACTTACACCAAACAGAATCTCCAGGGAAACACTAGTCGACAATTTGCTGACCCTTAGGCTCCTACAATAACTTCTAAAAAAGGAAGACAAAATTATCCTGACTGGTTAAGACTAACTAAAACCATTTGGGGGGAGGTATATATTACTAAAAGCATATCGATACCGTAAAACATAAAACAAAGGAGGGGTACAATAAATGCATGCCGTGGAGTAAGACAGACTGCAGCTATGGACTAACATTACTGTTCAAACAAGAAAGACAACTGAATTCTTACATTAAGAAACTATAATTTTTCTAAATAAGATTTTTAAAAAATTTATTGATTGATTTTAGAGAGGGAGAAGGAGACAGGGAGAGAGGATGAGTGAGAAAAGGAAAGAGATAAAGAGAAAGAGAGAGAGACAGAGAGAAAACCATATAAGGTTTTTAAAGGATTTTGTACATCCACCATGTAAGATTTTGTTACAAACAGGTACCAACAATTCTCTAACAGAGTCAGCAGCAGCGAAGGAATAGGACTTATTTAATGTAGAGTGCAAGTTTTGTGAAGTCAGGGGCCACGTCTACCTTCCTCATGGCTCTACCCCTGAGGTTTAGCAGAGGGCCTGGCACAAGCGAGATATTCGGAGGAGTTTCTGTGTGAATAAAGAAGCATCAACTATCTGTCATTAAATGATGAACACCTGCCCTAGAATAAGGCATCACACTGAAGAGAAGTCTTGGGTGCCCGATTAATTTAACTACAAAAGGTATATAAGAAAAGTTTTTATAGAACCAGACCAAACTAATAAGCAAAAACCATTTAGTAAGCTGCTGCTACGTTCCAAGCTAAAGACATTCTGTAATCCCAACAAATGTCCATGGTAAGGTTGCAGTTAAAAATAGAACATACCTCTATCTTAATCTTTCAAAAAGGTAAAACCCAAATGACTTTGAACTATCCATGTACAAAAGCCGAGCACTGGAGACATAAACCCTGCTTTCATCTGGCAGCCACAACCGTAATGTTTTGTTCTCAGGAGGTCTCCTATCAGAAGCCACTTTAGACACTCTCACAGAGCCACATCGCACAATACGGCCATCGCACAATACGGTCGGCCGACCAAGCACAACACGGTCTCCTGGCTTTCCCTGTAGTCTGATAATAAAGGAAGGAAAGCCGAAGCTCTCCCGCTCTGAGCCATCATCTTTCTGCAGACTCTGTGAATAGATGCGGCCCAGCTGTCTCACTGACCTTCCAGGACATTGGTACTTCCCGCTTCCAAATGCCATGAAGTAGTCCAAGAAAGCATGCTTCTCTAAATTTGCTTCTTTCCAACGTTCCTGTGGGAAGAAAACATTTTTTTTTCCAAATCAGCCTTATATAAATAAGCTTAACTTTATTTCTCTAGGCTAAAAATGACCTTGTACAGCTAATCCTCGCATATAAAGTTGCAGGATTGTTGGTAATTTTTTCCAACCTGTTATTAATAACAGCCACAATTATGATTTGGGAACATAACTAATAAATAAAAAGGTTTAAAAAGAATTCTGTTAAATGGCAAGTGTAAATGACGATGTCAATTGACCACAGAACTGACCTCAGAGAGGAAGGATATTTACAATGGGCCTCAGCCTCCCTCAGAACCCTGCCCTTAGTTACAAATTTAGTAACAAGACGCTGACAGCCCTGCCGTTGGAAAGCCTGGGACTCAGAATGAATACATCTGGATGCCATTTTTGACAGTTTTACCTAAAGGCAGAGAATGGACCAAATGACCTCTGCAGATTCTGCGCAGCCCTGTAACTCCCCAGTTCTAGGAGACAGCGGAACACAGTTTTAATTTGCTTCATTTTTATTTTTTGTACTACTTGGAAACCAGTAACAGGAACGACTGCCTGAAGAACACAAAATAAGTCTTCTATCAGAACCAGGCCTATTTACTTTAACACGCCCTGCTGGTTTCAGATAAAAATTTATTTTAAAGCTGATGAAGCTTGTTCCAGAAATCTTTGTCTCTGACTTGTTGTGCAGGTTTACACCGTCTACACCGCACATCTAGTCTGCATTTTGTAGCCTTAATTACTAGAGAAATACGGCTGTTCCATGACACGGTCATGGGTAAATTATGAATTCATATTTCAGCATAAAAATATTAAAATCAAAGGACAACATATATTGAAAAAAAGTAACTTACAGGTTTGAACAATTCAGGTTCAGGAAAATACTTTGGATTTCTATGTAGCCAAAATGGAGACAACATCAACAAGTCGCCAGAAGGAACAGTGTAATTCTATGATAGAAAAATATAACCAGAGGCATTGAAATTAAGAACAAACTGATAGAACAAGTATAAAGGACACATGGACAAAACCAAGGGGGGCTGGAAGCAGGGGAGGGAGGTGGGGATGGCTGGGGTGGGGGGTTGTGGTGGGGGGTAAATGCAGACAGCTGTACTTGAACAACAATAAAATAATTTTTTAAAAAAAGAACAAACTGACAGTAACCAGAGGGGAGGTGGGAGGGGATAATGTGGGGGGAAAGGGAGGGTTGTCAGGAACTTGTATAAAGGACACATGGGAACAACAATTAAAAAAAAAACTAAAAAAAAGAAAAATTGGTTCCAAGTTTTTTTTTAAAATCTGCTTTAAAGAGAGTTTGGGTCATTAAAAATAATGCTACAACTATACTGTGGTGAAGACACATACGTTATATAAGCAATGGTGATAAAATCTAACTCCTTCCTGGCTGGAGAGTTTTGTTTTCCAACTTAGGCAATGACTGAGTCATGATCCTGATGATCGGTTACATGCACACAGAGAGATACACGGGGGCAAAATATTACATAAATGTGAAAATTTTAGAAACCAGTATCAGTTCACACTCTAATGCAGCTTTTGCTGTTCGCTACTAAGGGTTGCAGCAAGTGTTCTTGGTGATGGAAACCACAGTAAATCTCCAGATCCTGACACAGAAGAGTCTAACTCTGGGACGGGACACTGGTCGGGGCACTGAGGACAGGAGCAGCAGGTGTCCTGCCCCTGGGGACACTCAGGAGAATGTCAGGGCAGGGGCAGTGGATTCTGTGTTTGTTTGTTTTTTCACTCTAGCAGCAGCTGTTAGGGCAGAAAGAATATGAAGGCAACTGGTTAGGAATACACAGAACGAAGCAAGTGCTGTACATTTCACTGGTTTTGTGTTTGTGGCTGTGGTGGTTATGGAGCCGAGGTAAGTGGTGTGAGTCCTCAAATAGGGAAATGTTGCATGATCCTTCTCATTCATGTGAAAATAGGGTTTCATGGTGTATAAACTACATACCAAGACCTAAGAGCCATTTCATAAAAATCACCCTTATATCACCATGCTCAGGAACCACACGGCAAAGAGCTCTCCCACAGCGTGGGATCACTAGGGGGCTACCGACTTCATCGAGAGAAGCCATGTGATTTCCCATCGCCAGCCATCAGAAGCCATGTCTATTTCACCCTCCATAATTTTCAAGTGTCATCAAGCTATTTGTAAAACAGCAAGTTTATGTATCTAGAATTAGCACCTTACAATTAAAAACATGTCTTTTTATAGTAGCAGGGAGTGGGGTATAGGGAGGGGCCATCATTTGTTCACCCAGGAGAACCCCTGTTGGCTCCAATGGGAGCTGAGTATTGCTTGAGGTTGTTAATTTCAGTCCAGGACAGCTGGAGAGTCGGGTCCAAAGCTGGGGACAGGGCGAGGCTTGCTGGTGCACTGTTACTCATTTTTAAGGTTGAAGGAGACTCGTGAGATCCCAGTTTCATGCATTCCTTCTCCCTCTGCTGGCACGGAGGCTAGAGAGGTCATGACTGATTCTGATCAGGAATCAGCTGGGGAGGGCCTGATGTGTGTGGCCACAGGGTGGGAGGCAGCCTGCCCTTCCCCTCCCCACCCCATGGTCCTCTTTAGTGGCAGTTGACTTATTATTATATCTGGGGGGGCTGCTGATAGCTGCAGCCTACAAAGCAAGCTAGTAGAGAAAGATGCCAAATGGGGCCTCAATAACACCATTAACATTAGTGACAGGGAGGAGGCCAAAAAGACATGCCTGTTGCAGCAGCACACGCCAGGCTGACAAATGGCATTGAGGATGTGAGAGCTGGTTGTGTTCACAGGAACCCTTGGAGTGAACAGATGTCATCATGCCTCGTCTAAACAGTCCCTGTCACTGTTTACATGACAGATGAAGAGAAAGATCAAGAGGGAGACAGAATAGTCATAGTCCTCGAACACACACCACTAGCAAAGAGAAGTCACAACTTGTTGCAGTTCCTGCAACTCTCTGGTAAACAGAATTGACCCTGGCCAGCCCACCACACAGAGATGCTGTGAGACCAAATGAGCTTCATCTGCTAGTCTAGAGATGGGGCTTTCTCATAGAGGAAAGAGAAGGAAGGGCTCTCTCCTATGCCCTTTGAGACAAAAGAGGGCACAAGGAATACAGAATCTTGAAGAGAAAGAAGGAGTCCTATCAAGGCAAAAAGTATCTACCTGAAGCACAGTTTTTCTCCTAGCTGTTGGCCAGAAGCTCGGTTGCTGTTAGTGGCTTAAAAAAAAAAGTAGGTACTTTAAAAGTTAAAGATTATTTTTTCTTTATATTATACAGTAATTGTGAATAATTTGCTCTCCAATGGCTGTTTAATCTTTCATTGAGTAGATTAAATCATAATTAATCTAATCATTTTCTACTCTTTTTCTATTATAAATGCCATCACTAGAGTCTTCTTCCTCAAAGCATTTTTCATATAAAATCTTTTAACACAGATGTTCAGAAGACACAGGACATGAATATTTTTAAGGCTATTAATACCCATTGCTCAACTGTTTCCTCAAATTTTGTAGCAAAATATTTCGAACTATAACGAGTGTGCCAATTTCACTGCCCCCTTATCTGCTAATCTGACATCTTTAATGGGCTGTTCTACTTGCTACTTAAAATTTGTTAAGCGGTTATGTCATTTCCTTCTATAAACTCTTGTACGCGTGTCCCATTCACATTAATGTAACCTTAGTGCTTACTGATCTGTGAATTTTTAAATATTAAAATTACTTCTTCATGTGCTACACACATATTGACATTTATTCTTAAATTTTGGTTTATATTTAATTTGGGTTATAGTTTTTAAAATAAGACATTAACCCTTGATATGGTACATTCAAATCTGTTCACTTGCTTCATGGTCTCACTGATTAATCCCTAAACTTAGGCAGCCCTCTTCTCTGGACCATAGTGGCTCTCAAAGGTGGTCTAGGGGTTTCTAGGAGTTCCCAAGACCCTTCAGAGGGTCTGCAAAGTTAAACATCATTCCTGAATAAAATACTTTTTCAAAGTATAGAGAGTCCAGTGGGTTTTAATATAATTGAATATAAAAACTCACTGACATACTTTCAGAGTGCAACAAACTTTTAAGAAGGTGTCACTGTTGAGTTTCAGTGTAGTATCAAAGAATAGCCACACATATCTGAAAAGGTAACTACAATACTTCCCTTTTTTTGGCTACATGTCAGTGTGAAGCTGAATTTTCTTTATTTCCGTCAATGAAAACAATCTATCTCAATAGACTGATTGCAGACACATATATACGAATTCAGTTATCTTCTATTAGCAAGGCATTAGATTTGCAAAAACCTAAAAATAATGCTATTCTTCTACCACTTTTTGTTTTGAAAAAAGTTTCATAAAAATCATGCTATTAATTTAACATGGAATAGGTTTCTTGTTCTTTTAAATGAATTACTAAATAAATATGTTAACAATTTGTCAGCTTCAGTTTCTGATACAGTAAGTATAAGCAGATATGACTCACACAGGTGAGAGCTCTTTGAGATAGTCAATAATTTCAAAAGTATATATGAATCTTAAGAGCAAAAGTTTGAGAATCACTACATTTTTTAAAAATCCACATATTAATATCTTCCCTCTTCATTAACTTTTAATAATTCATTTATCCTATATTAAATTCTTATGTACAAAGGATTTTTTTTCCTTGTTATCTATCCAACCTGCTCTACTGGTCTGAACAACTGGTCGGATACCAGGATAATGTCGTTTTATTTGTTGTAGTTTTATACATGTTTTAATACACTGAGAAGAGAATTAATATTGCTAACATTCACATTTTCCAACACTTCCTTGTTTATTTTTTCCTTGGTATTTTTGCAGATTAACTTTGTTCTAAAAATATCAAACCTTGAAGACAGAGTACAGGTAGAAGTTTAAGAGTTTTCAAAAGGTGGCATAATAAAAAGAAAAATGGAGTAAATAAAAGAAAACAGAGAGTGTTTGTTCATTTTAATTTACTCCAAAAAATATAGAAAAGAATACAGGAGCAAAAATAAACAACGATTCCCTGTCCAGGCTACACTGGGAAGGGCAGGGGGAGACTACTCCCAGCATGCATAGCGGACACCTTGAGCAGCCGTCCCATAGAAAACACGGACACACCTCTGCCACTGCTCAACACAGACGGCCCCATACGGGACGCTGTTCATAATCCAGTTCCTAGGAACACATGGTGTATTCAGCAAAAACATTCCACCGAAATATATCGGGAAAATTCCTAAAGCTTAAAATGACCAAGTTGTATGAATTTATACTAAGAAAATAGTAACGTACAAAAAGATTTAGCTTTTAGAATGTTTATCTTCATGCTGTTTATAGTAGGGAAAATGGAAGCCATATACATAATGAAAAATAAGGAACTGATTTAAAAATTTATACTCTGTCCATGTATTAGATTATTATGCTGCAATTCAAATGGTGCCGATGTCCTTCACTGATATATGAGATTACTTGTGATCTATTAAGTAAAATAAAAGCAGGTTACCTAAAAACTAGCACAGTATGACCCCAATTGAATTTTTAAAATGCACATACTACGGGAAAAAAATCTGAAATTATAATAATACCAAAGTGTTCACAGTAGTTAGTAGCTCTGATGTGGAAGTTTAACCAATTTTTAATTTCTTCTTTCAGCTTCTTATTATGGTCTCTTTCTAATGACCACGATTTACTTATGTAATAAGAGGAAAACTCTGTGTAAGTTATTATTTTTTAAGTTAAAGTCTTATCTCCACAGGGAGAGATTCACAGTGATTAAACCTGTCTGGGCCCCTGAGAAGAAAGGCCGTGTTTGTAAGTGACACAGAAAGTGTGGGAAACACCACGCCTTTTACAAACATGAAGAAGGTGCTATGAGAATTAACAGAGGAGGAGTGCTGGAACAATCTGCGCAGGTGGCAGCCTGAGCACAGGCCACTGAGGTGGCCGCCACCAGCTGCTGGGCCTGGAAGGAAGTGACCAGAATGAGCTTCATGTGCTCCGGGTGGGAAGTGTGAGTGAGTGTTAGGAAGCGAAGATATGAGACTATTAATTTTTAAAAATAATTTCTTGGCTCATTTTGGATATCCATTATTTCTAATTTAAAATTTTTATTGGGATCCCACAGATGTTGGGCTTTGCAAGAAAACTGTATGTTGTGAATCATAAATGTGTTTATATTCTTGGACCAGTAATCCACAAGTAAAACATAATTCAAGGATAATCATTAAAAAAAGAAAATGTACTCTGCACAAAAATGCAAGTAATTACCACATTAAAGTAATCACAAAGAAAAACAAACTAAATTCTCGAGAGCCAGGAAATAATTAAATATTTAAGCTATTAACTCAATGGACTCTTATGCGGCAATTGAAATAAATATGAAAACTCTCTGGATGCATGAAAAGTGAAAAATAAGGTTAACAACTTTTTAAAATGACATTTACACTATGATGAGACATAGGCTTCTGTATCAATGTCATAGGAAAAGAAATCTGGGTAGTTGTGATAGTGCGTTATGGGGGGCATCCTGTGTGCGTGAATGTGTACGTGCATATGTTTGAGCATGTGTGTTTCTCATGGTAAGCTTAAAGGAAGTAAAATTAATTTTGAAAAACTAGGTAATGTTAACAGCCCCAACAGTCCTGACAAGGATATGAGGTTAAAAGCTCCCTCGAGACCTAACTGCTTGAAGACAGAAAGGGGGTTCAGCAGGGATGGGGTGGCGGAACACAAAGGGACAGTGTCAGTACCAGACATCAGACGAGGGAGTCGCTGGTCAAGAGACAAGAGACTTTATGCTGAAAAATAAGTACCTTTGTGCCAATACCTTATGGTAAAATAAAAATACAAGAAAGGAGGAAATCGACTGAGTCATCTTAAGGACCCTAAAATGAAAAGTAAAAGGAAGTAAGCAGGAAACCAACATCTGCCCACTGGCGACACCCGCTGCTAGAAGGGAAACAAAGAGGCACAGGAGACAGGCTGCAGGTGGCTGCACAGTGAGAGCTAAAGGAAAAGAAAGAGGGTAATTGCAGAAGCGTAAAGACAAAGCAGCGCTCATCTGAAGGAAGAAGTATTGGCGTACGGTCAACCAAATCAAGATAAAGGAACCGCAGAAGAGCATGGAAGGCACGGACAGCAGGAGCTGGAAGGGACACAGTTTCAGGAGGAGTGCACTGTACTGGTTGGAAAGCGGTGTGTGCCTAAGAGCTTTTAGTTTGTGTCTGGAAAGAAAATCTATCTAGGTAACAAATTAAAAATTTCTTATTACAAAATTATCCCGTAATGATCTTAGATACTTAGCTAAAGGAATGGCACTGCTAGGCCTGGGAAGAGGGGTGCAGAACTGCCATGCAGGTGGTAGCAGAGCAACCAGTTACAGAAGCACGAGATGGAATGTGTTAAAACCACACGGACCACACTGAAATTCCTAAGAGAGAAGAAATCCAAAGGCAACAGGAAAAACAATTTATAAGAATTTAGATACAAGAATCCTTATGGCTTTTTTCTTCCTGGGTTGGTGGTGGATATGGTTAGTGGAGATGAAATGAGAACTTTAAAGGAGAGCAATTACAGGTAAAAAATTTTAAAAAACCCCTGGAGACTGAGACCAGAAATAAATGAGAGAAAAAGAAAAGAATTTAGGAGGAAAAGAAGGGCAATCTGTTGCTGACCTTTTCTTTCCTCTCTTTTGTAAGGCAGTACATGTGGTAGGAAGTAAGAAAGGGAAGAAGAAGAGGAGAAATGAGAGAAGGAAGAAGAGTGAAGGAAGGAAAGGAACGAGAAGGAGAGAGGATAAGCATGAAACACCTATAAAGAGACCGTCAGGGTACAGAAACTAGACAAAACAACACACAATAAAAAGTACAGAAAACTACAAATGAACTTAGATACAAAAATTCTCAACAACATATTAGCAAAACAAACCTAACAATGTATTAAAATTATATACCATGATCAAGTGAGATTTAACAAAATATTGTTGCCCTGGGTGGTGTAGCTCAGTGAACTGAGTGCCAGCCTGCAAATCAAAGGGTCATGGGTTCGATTCCCAGTCAGGGTACATGCCCGGGTTGCAGGCTAGGACCCCAGTAGGGGGTGCGCAACCCAGTGGGTAGTTGGCAACTACACATTGATGCTTCTCTCCTTCTTTCTCCTTTCCTTCCCCTCTCTCTAAAAATAAATATATAAAATCTTTTAAAAAAACAAAAACCAAAATATTGCTGTACAACCATTATTAGTAACCTATTCCAGGGCCATTGAGTGCTTACTGAAATTTGAGAAATTATCTAATAATATATGGGCAAAATATGTACTTTTTTTTCCTAGAAAGATTATTATTTTAAAACCAAAGCAAAGCTCACCAGAATTTTAACTGGTTTCATCACTTTTCTAGTAATGGCACCCGGGGCTCTTAAACGAATGGTTTCCAAAATACACCATTTAATTAGAGGGAGTTTCTTCAAGTCATCCTCAGACACTTTAATCTTATCTTTACCTGTAAAAAAAAAAAGAAGAAAAGAATGAAAGAAAATGGACTTAAAGAGGCCAGAAAGTGATTTCAGGTAAACTCATAAACATAGGTTAGATACTACCTCTGACAGCTAGTGCTAGTATTATTATTACTCTTGGCATACCAAGTTTAGTAATTTATTGCCTCTTTTTGGCATTTTCCTCTTACCAAGATGAAATGTATGGCATAAAAACTAAGCCAGTGTTGATCACTGCAACATGATGGATTGGTACCAACCTTGGCTCCCCCAGTCCTGCATCTGCTGAATGACTACAATAGACCCTGTCAGAAATGTGTTCAGTTTTCACTCTTTTCATTCTTTCTTGTTCAAATTCTCATTCTACTTAAGGAAACAGCAACAAAAGACTGGTATTAAAAGTAAAAAGTAAAAGATCTGAGAAGCCACCTAGCTTACTCCTTCTAGCTCTTCCCTGCTGACTTACTTTTGTTTTGCTTGTTTTTTTTAGTCATACATTTCAGTAACTAATATTAGGAAAGTTAACAATATTAGGAAAGGGGCAGTGAGGCACATGTATTTCTTCTGGAGTGACAATTTCTCTAAACATAGGTGCTCCAAGCCTTTCTAATGCAATGCTTCCTAATGCATAGCGTAGCTACTACTTAGACTGAAGACAATCGAGAAAGGATTGGGGCCAATCTGTTTATGATCCAAAGAATGGTCAGGGCCTTTAGTCAGATTAGACAGTTTAGTTAATGGTGGTATTTCAAATAAAATATTTCCATTTTGAAACTGACTTTAAAACAACTCAGCTTTCAATTTGGTTTTAGCAGTATTTGCTTAATAAAAGTCAACAACATTGTCAGTTTAATTAAGTCTACTTCTATATTTGCTTCCCAACTCTACTGGGAATGAGTGGGTGAGAGTGGAATGTAGGGTCTTCCCATGTCTCTCCTGGATTCTGGGTGAGGCTTGTTCTAAAAGCAAGCCCATTCTGCAGGAGGGCTGGGTGGGTGCCGCCTGGGAAACCCTCTCTGCCAGCACATGTGGAATTCCTGAGGAGTCAGAAGCAAATGTCTTTGGTTAGTGGACTCTGGGAATCAGTCAGGGTCTTTACACTCTGGTTCTACTAATCCCCATAGGGGTGTCTATATGCTCCACTAAACTTGATAGATTCCTGAGTACACGAATAAGGGCCAGGAGCTGAGTTAGGCTCTACCGGGGTTACAACAATCAAGGTATTTTTGCAATACACTTAGTCTAGCAGGAGGTAAGAGACAAGCTCATAGTTAACCGGTACACCACATGGGCAAAAAACTGTTCTGTGGGATGTCAAATATGCTGGTAGTTAAAAGCAGGGAAGGTTCACACCCAACTACAAGTAAAGCAAATATTCTATGACTATTATTTCTCTAAAACTACAAATCTAACTAGTTCCTTGTATAAGTAGACCTCAGTAAATACCTACTGAGTTAACAAATGGTCCAACAACTTCAACAAATGGGGAGATAAATACGTGGAGATTCTAGGCAAATGAAAGAGGAAGGGCAGGCCCCTGAAAAAGTCTGGACTCTAGTAATAGTGAAGTTTCTGCCTTCCTTTTAGGGAAAAAAAAAGAGGTTTTATTAAGAGTTCTTATTCGAGTAATTGAACTATACAGTGCAAAAATGTTTTATATTATATAATGCAGACACGAAAACTTGTTTTGAGTTGAATACAATACTTAAAATCTATTCTAACCTATAAATATGTAAGAGATGCAGGCTACACTTGGAAAAGGAATGTTTTGATATAATATTTTTAGTTTCTCAAAACTCAATGTAATGTGGGAAAAATAAGGTAGTATTCTTGGATTAGACAAAGAAAAAGAAAGGGAAATATGTGAAGTTTCAAACAACATCTTTAGGTTAAAGACCTTTCTTATTATAACTCTTAGAAAAGGCTCCGTACTCACACTGCACATTTCAATGCACATCTGCAGTCTGTCCTCCCAGCGTTTTGACTCTAAATTTAGAAATCTCCCCTTGGAAGAATGCCAAGGTAATCATCAAATGGGCCAGAGCCTGGAGTCAGCCAGGACCAGTGCAGAAGGCACCCAGGAAAGAAACGATGGGTGATTTGGGGTAAAATTCGGAGACCAGCGTTTAATTCAGCATGAATGCAGTAAAGGTCAAACCAAATCTTAGGATATTTGAAACCAAATAACAGAAAAGATGATTTTTGTATTCAGAAATAGCAAAATGTATTTCAAAAATATATAATTTAGAGATTCCGCAGGCATGATGGCATTCATGTTATGACACAGTAACTATGAATTCCATTTATTAAGTATATATAATAGGTTGAAATTTAGTTATTTCACCCATTTACTCATTAATAGAAATTTGCTTCATATCTGTTATGTGCTAGCCCATGCACAGGCGCTATAAGAGACAGGAAGGGAGTAATACTAATTTATTGACCTTTAATGTCATGAGTACTTTGGACCACCTCATCCATTTCTCGTAACCACCTGCCAGCTGTTTAGCCTCCGAGAGGTTAACATGGCGGAAGAGACAAGCTTGAAGGTGCCAGAGCGGCCTTCACACCGTGTCTGTCCACACTGAAAACCTCTACCCTCGCTTCCTGTGTCCCACCACTTCCCCTAAGAGGAGAAAGGAAAGACACAGTCATTGCCTTAAAGGAGCTTGGACACAGACACAAAATCACATTTAGATATAAATAACCATAATGTAAGCTTCATAAGAGAGGGTGTAAGTGTCAGTGCTGTTCATCCATCCCCTCTTGCCTGGGGCTGGAATTTCAGCTAAGCCTGGAAGGATCAGTGAGATTCACCCAGGCAGAAAGAAGTCACTTACATAGCAAAATTAATCATAAAAGTGATTTCTTGAACTTAAAAAAAAAAAAAAGACACACAAATCGAACAGAATCTCCAAAGTAAGTCCTTTGAGAGATGGCTCCTCTGGTACCTTAACAGGGAAGCCCCCCTCCTCTCACATACACACACGCACAGTAAATAAATACATAAAATATAAAATACAGAAACTCTGTTTCCATAATCCTGGGGTAACATCACATGAAGATTCAACTAAGAATTTGGGGGAAATAATCCATGTTTTGACAGAAAAGAAAAAGAATGGTAGGTATTTGTGGAGTCATTCAGGCCTTTTGAGATGTGTTCTAAGGAGACTGAGTCAGGTGAGGTCGCAGAGGGCGGTGAATTCAGAGGGCACTGTGCTTCCCTCCATAGACACGGAAAGGAAGCCATGTGTATGGGGTACGCCACCAAGGGACACGTGGAAAGATGAAGAAAAGCAAATAATAAGTTCCACTGAAATTTAAACAGTGTATTCCTACACATTCCTCCACCTCTTTCTTTATTTTTACAAGTGCAGATTCTCGTTGTGTGTTGTTCTAGCTATGAGTTTAAGCTTTTCTGCCCAGAGGCTGCCTCTTCATATTCAGAGAACAGCTTGATGGAAATATTTAGGGTTAAGGTGTGTGGAAAGGTCACAGCATATGTGAAGGAGAATGAACCTGGGATAAAAACGCAAGACATAAAGGTTGAAATATAAACTGATGTAACAACCTTAAGCAATGATCCCTCCCAAAATTTGGTCAAGAAATTTGCTTCCAAAGTTTTATAATAATTTATTTTAAAAGTAAAAATCGAGTAATAAATGTTGGTGTTTACTTTAGAGTGTTACTAGGGAAATTATGTAATAGCTCTGACAAATACAGCATTTCTACGACTTCTACTCAAAAATAATGAAGCAATGACATCAATTGCTAAAGGAGATTAAGAGCAAGAAACTAGTTTCCTAGCATATTTTTTAACTGCAAATCTCAAGACAAACCTCTGAAAAAATCAGTTTTTAGAGAACAGAAACAAAGCTAAAAAGAAATATTAAATAAAGAATTCATAGTACCCCACAGGAGAAAATAAAAGCAGTATCTTACATTCTTCCCTTCATTTCAGGAATTTAAAAAACTTCAATATTTTAAAGAATGTTCAAAAATTCAATTTTAAAAGATTATACCTCTGTTTTATTCTAGGACTACAGTCTTATATTTACAACATTGCTCTTTCCTTTTCAGAAGAAACCTAGTTAATACTGGAAAAGGTAAGCACACCTCCAACAGAGAGAGCGTGGACAAAATACCCTGAAGTAGGTGACATCATTTACAACAGGCTTTGTACCTCAAAGGACCCTATAACCATTATTCGTCAGTAGTGAGAATATGCTGGTTACAGATTGCTGGAAACCTTCAACAAGGTGACAATTTGTTTATGCACTTGTCCCCCAAATGCAGAAAACAATAAACCCATTTCTGTAATTATTCTTTTAACTTTGAAAAGCAACACTGTGAAACTAAATCTTTGATTATTGAAAGGAGAAAATAATTTTAAATTTTGTATAAAGACTGCCAGTGACCTTTCCCTTCTCCAAACACATATTTCCCCCCATTCCTGATGACTAACAGGTGGTGAGAGAAATGCCCAGGACAGGGTAGCCCAGAACTGAGAAATAGGAGTAGCGGAAATAGAAAGAGAGAAATTATTTTTTAAAAAATAGTAAGTAAATAAGATCGCAGGCCTAAGTTGGTTAAGCAAGGTGCAAATTGGAGAGATTTAATTATTCCACACAATAAGATCCAGGTTTTTCCTAGTGTTGCAAATTATGTCTTCAGGCTGCAACTTCCCCATTGATATCAGTAGTGCAAATATTCAAAAGATTCTGAAGAGTGTTAGGGAAGGGAGAGGCTGTTTAGAGAACAGACCAATGGTTACCGGAGGGTCAGCGGTGAGGGAATGGATAGAAAAGGTGAAGGGGTTAAGAAGTACAAACTGGATGTTACAAAACAGTCATGCGGATGTAAAGTTGAACATAGGGAATACAGTCAAATAATGTTGTAACAACTATGTATGGGGCCAGGTGGGTGCTGGAAATACCAGGGGGATCACTCTGTAAAGTATATGACTGTCTAACCACTACCCTGTACACCTGAAATTAATACAAAATAG